CATCTAAGAAATTTGATGCAAATTCTGGTGTCACCACAGAAACATATTCCAATTCTGTGTTTTCAGAAGCCAGACTAACTTCTTCCAATTTATCCTTTTCACTTTTTGGAGGCAAAAGAGTCACATCTACCTTTGTATTCAAACTATCTAGGCCCACAGAATCTCTATCTTCAGCATTTTGGTCCTTACAGAAACTAGACTTTTGTGCCTTGTCTCCCAGTAAGTCAGAAATTTGAACTGGAGCAGACCCTTCTTCAGATTCTTTCTTTTTGTTTACTGCGTATGTTGGAAAATTAGTCCTATCTGCATATGCTTCCAGGGCTCTGACCTCACCTGGCAGACTTTGGTCTTCTACTGGCATTCCAGAAAGAATATGCCCCTTTTTTAGCGCTGTGATTTTCTCTATAAAATGCTTAGAAGCACCACTGGGCATTGACTCAGATTCTCCATTCACATGTCCTCCATCTATCTCTGCTTCATTTTTCTTGGGATCAGCAAGCTCCCCTTTATTCTTAAGACAGTTATCTCTATGACTGTTAACTGTTTCTACAGCTGCTGTAAAACTTAGGTCAACTCCTGTGCTTGTAGAGGGCATAATAGCAGTAGGAGTTCTGGATCTTTCTTGGTCTGGGATTCTCTCATTGCTGTAATTGTCTACCACTGATAATTTGGAGATTTGGGCCAGACCTGTCTCTTGCCTACATTCTGCCAAGGTATCTGGAAAGGAATCAATTTCCTTTACTACTTTAGGAGCAGTCAGTTTTTCACAAGCTGCTAATTCCAAAGTCTCTGGAGGGGCTGATTTACCCATCAACCCTGGTGGAGTTCCGGGGCAGGTAAATGTAATATTTCTATTTTCATCCATATAGCCTATTCCTTCAATTCTGTGGTCCCCTGTGGTTTCCATGGGAACATGTATTTTTGTTGCATCTATCTTATTCTCTAGAATGTGCTTCTCAGAAAAACTATTTTTAACTCTTTTACTTTTTCCATCATTACTCCTTTTATTTGGTTTGGAAACCACTGCAGCGTCCCCATTGGCTACATCTGTCTTATTCTCCTCAGACAGTACTGAGGGAACAAACCCTACTCCCTGGATTTGTTCTTGGCAGCTCACATCTGTCACCTTGGTAGCTGGTTCAGTAACAGCAGAATCCTTGACTGTGATTGTTTTGTTCTCGCCAAGAGCCCCAAGCTCAAAAGAATTAGCCTCAGTACTTCTACCCTTTTGCTCAACTACTTCCACTGTGGGTGTCTCTGACATATGTGAAAACAAAGGGTCATGATTTATGGGAAAAGTGAGTGCTAATTCCTTGTTTTGATGGGGAGTACTACCAGCATCTCCATCCTTCCCTACAAAAGGTGGGTTAAGGCTTTCTTTCTTGCTCTCTAATCTCTCCTGCTGTGTGGAATAATTGTTTTTAAACTTTTTGTTTTTGCCTTCATTGCCTCTTTTTTTAGGCTTCTCAGAAATCCAGTGAGCTGCCTCATGATCCATCGAAGGAACCTTTCCTTCCTTGCTCTGGTTACCAACCCCCATATCTCTGGCTACTGTTCCTCCTCCTGTTTTAGCACCAGAAGTCTGAGTCATGCCTGACCCACTTTCCATGGGAATCAATACTTGCAAGGTGCCTGCCACCCTGGGGTCTTCTGTTTCCTTAGGCTCCCCTATCACCATTGCCTCAGTAAGATCAGGCGTGGTCCCTGGTTGCCCTGAAGAAGCTAGCCCCAGTTCCTCACTTTTATTCCCAGTGACCACTGTTTCAGTTTTAGGGGTTGGCTCACTTGGCACAAGAACAGCTTTGCCATCTTTCTGGCTGTCCAGAAGAAATGGCAGCTCAGACCTTGCTCTTCCCTTTCCAGAACTCACCCTCACTTTCCCAGCACTTCCTCTACCTTTCCTGCTTTTGCCATCACCTGCCATTTTCTTAAATCGTTCATTCCTTAACTCTGGGACCTGAATAAACTCTTTGTCCTGCTGTTCAGAAGCAAAAATACTGATTTCTTGGTTTTGCTTTGGAAAAACTTTCTTTAATTCTTTAACCTCTTCAGCTCCTTTGAGAAACTCTTTCTGTTTGTCATTCAGCAGTTTAGTCATTTTACTCTCATCATTTCCTTCTTTTAGACTTCTGTCTAATGAACTACTTGCTGTCAAAGTGGATATCAAATTAGGCAGTTCCTTTGAAACTCCACCCATAGTTTCTTGGTCAAAGATAGAAGAGCAGCCTTCTTTGTGTCTAATCTCTAAAGGACTTTCTATTTTGCCTGCAGAAACTTCCATCAGGGGACCTTTCAGATTGAGAGAGCCTACTGTTTGGCTTTTATCCAGAGTCTGTAGGTGAGGTTCTGGCTGTAGTTCACATTCATCTTGCTGCAAGGATTTCTTGTCTAGGCTCTGTTGTACTGACTTGTTACCTTTGACTTCTGCCTCTACACTCAGATTGGATTGAGAATTTATTCCAATTTTGGGGAGTTCTTCCAAAGGACACAAAGGAACACTGAGACTTTCTGAGGCAAAATGATCAGCTACCAGTTTGGCTGCTCTAGAGTCAACTCCACATTTGTTTTTCAAGATTTCTCTGGACCCCAGTCCACATTCTGGGCCCTCTGTGGTAAAGTGGCTGGGAAGAACACTTGATTTTTGTAGGTCAGTTACAAAATGATGACCTTGAGGTTTGTCTGCATTTTCATCATCCCAAGGTCCCCCAACAGGGGGTTGAGGATTTCTTTTCGGTTTTGGTTTCTTCTTTTTTTTCTTCATCAACACTGGTGTACTCTCTATATCCCAGGCCTCCCTGCCAAGATCCCTCTGGGGTTCAAGGGCATCAACATGAATAGTTTTCCTTTGGTTTCCAGACTCACCACAGGAAGATGAACCAGAGACCCAACCCAACTCAGACAAAGAACAGGAGCCCAGCCCAGGGTCAAAAGTCTTCCATGGAGAAGAGCCTCCCAGCTGCTCAGGACGGGTCCTGGCAGGTCTAGGCCGGGAGGACCTGCGGTCACTGGGTCTGCATACTTGTTTGGCTTGTGTAGGAGGGGTACCTGCAATACATGAAGCTGGCTAAAATTCCAAAAAAAAAAAAATCTCCTTGTTATTGTTTCTTTAAAAAGACACTCATTTAGTGACTCATTTAAGTAGTCTATTTTCACCAACCCACATACTATTTCACTTAGGAAAACAGCTTTTTCCAAAACATTTCTCACCTTAAATGAGATTAGCAAATATTTAACAAAGATCATCATCTCAGGTAAAGACTTTTTTCATACATATTTACAAAATATTTGTAAAGAAATTCAACAGATTTTCTAACTCCTATAAATAATTACTGCCTATAAATCTCACCTGACACTTATTTATATTTGTCATTATTTCTAATAGGTACAAATTTCCAGTTCTACAACAAGGTGGTAATTGTTCTTGGTGACATTTATTAATTAGCTGAATGAAATATATATGATTTTGAGTTCATGATACTAAAATTCTGTCACCAATATTATACAAACTTCTTGCCAAACTAACCAGACTGATTCTGGGAAACAGACCAGAAGCACCAAACTTAAGCTACCAGGGGAAAAAAGAAAAAATACAGAATTAGTATTTTGGCCAGAGAAAAATCCTATCATTCCCGAAACAGAACATCCTACTTTAAAAGACAAATGTTTTAGATTTCAGTGTTCTGTTTCAAAATGCACTTTTCCAAAAGACAGAAAAATATAAATAATTCCAAGTAAGGTAATGAATTAAATAAATTACGATGACCACCACCTGGAAATTTCAGGAAGTCAACTGATTCAGCCTTTTGCTTTCAACTCATTGCAGTATGGATCCAAAATCCTTGAAAGAATCCCATTAACAGCAGGTCCAGGACAGCTCTTGTCCAGTCTGACCCAATGAAATGACTTCAAAGAATATTAAATAGTTTAAAATACTTAAATAGTACCTTTTGTTCTTGTTTTTATTTCTCTAATGTCCTGGAAATCCTAGCTCTTATTTAACACCTCAGGTCAATTATGCCCTCAAAAAATGTTTGCTTTTTAGTTCTCTACAGATTTTATAACATTTAAAAGTTGGCAATTAATCTATTTCATTCAATTTTAATATAAATCTTTGGTTTCAGAGTTCATGCCTGGGAACTTTTCTTGCCACCCGGGCTATAATATAATAGGAACAAGAATACAGATTTAAATACCTATGGTGCTTTAGCATGGGGTATTTTGTAAACAATAAGGAGCTGATAAATCTTTAATAATGTGTTGTTACTAAAACAACAATGAAAACATCAAACATTTATTTAGCTCCTAATTGGCCGAAGCAATGTATGTATAAAGAACTAGAGAGCTAAGTGAAATAATTCATGTTTCCTGTTGTCCAGTTTATGGTCTAGTCACAGTTATAGAAAAGTAAGCAGAGAATTATTAAGTTGATAATCATATGGTAAGCTTCTTGCTTACCATCAAAAACATACAAAATTCACAAAATAGCCAAACTTTAAGTTAGAAAGTATCTTGGAGTAGTGGTTCTCAAAGTTTAATGTATGAAACAATTATCTAAGGAAATTCTTAAAATGCTTATTATTATTCTGAAGGTCTGAGGTAGAACTCAAGATTCTGTACTTCTAAAAGGCTCCCAGGCATGCAGATTTCATGGTGAGTCATGAAATATACTGAAGTAGTTAGAATTTACAGATGCCTAGGTTCAGTCAATTTATTAATTCTAGCTGAATAAACTGAGATAAAGTAAAGTCAAAAGATATGCCTAAGATCATGCAGGACAGAACAGTGAACAGCTGAACTGGATTAAAATTGAGACATCTTTGAGTTGATTATTTGAAAATATGTAACAAGTTGACTTTCTGCTAAATAAGACAAAATCTAAGAAAGACAACTGACTTCATAAAAGATATTACTGATTACCACCATACAACTAGGGGCACTATCTATCACCACCAATCTATCGCTCTGAGCTTCAAAGCGTCTACTTTGTTTTCCTTATTTACCAGAGGTCTCCGAAGAATATTCAGAACATTGATTATTGGATGGTTTCTCTTGCTCCGGCTTCTCTAACACAGAATCCTCGGATGTTGGCAAGTTGTCTTTTTGGCCCACAGCTGTGACTGGTTCTAAAGGTAACAGTAAAAACCACAAAAGTTTCAGAGAAGGATTATTATAGCTATTTCTCCACCTTTTAGAAATTGGAAATTGGTTTTTGAGAAATGAGCGACGCTCATCTGAGTGTCAATGAGCGTCAATGAGCGACGCTCAGCAGAGAAATGGAATGGTAGTTGTATGGTGGAAAGAAAGTAGAGTTGGGAGGGTCATTTTTTGGATAGGAAAAACAACAAATACTCTGTTGGTGGAAATGATTTAATGAAAGGAAATTTTTTTGGTGAGAAGCAAGACAGGTGAGAAAGTAGGCAAAAAGAGATGGTATTGAGTCCAAATAGGAGAGGTTGGGTTTAATTAGGACCAGAGAAAGTTTACTTATAGTAACAGAGTCTATGGCTACAGATGGAAACAGTGAGGTAGAGGAGATAGTGGCCATTGTGAATGATCTCTTTTATTGCTTCAATTGTAAGTAAAACAGGAAGGTCAGCAAAGAACAGCAGGATGGAGAAAGTATTAAAAGCTGCAGAAGGGTAAAGGTGAGGAGCTGTCTGAGAGAAGATATGTGTATAGACTTGCAAAGTTATAATGCAACTATCTTTATTTCATTTCGTGTGACTTCTATCCCTTGCCCCTTAGAAGACTATAGCCTAGGAGACAGAAATACTCAGCTTAAATGTAAACCCATACCTGGTGAAATCCCCAAAGCAGGTGCAGCTGATTGTCCCTTATGTTGGAGAAATTCTATTTGGGAATCCTCACTTATTTCTTCCACATTCTGTGCAACTTCCACGTCCTTTACTGGAACTGATGCAACCTCTGTTTCAGAGGGCAGTGCAACATCCTTGGCTAGAGTCACACTGTTGTCCAGATTCATCTCTCTTCCAGGAGACAGAGGCACATCCTTAGGCAGGATTACCTCTGTTTGTGGAGGTAGAGGAACATCCTTGGCCAGGGCTATTTCTGTTTCTTGGGTGAGAACCATATCCTTACCCAGGGTCAATTCAAGAGGTGGAACCATGTCCTTGACTGGGGTCACTTCTGTTTTTGGAGATGGAGCCATGTCCTTGACTGGAGCTACCTCTGTTTCTATGGGTAGTGCCACATTGTTGGTCAAGACCATCTTGGTTTCTGGGGTCAACACCACATCCCCAGTTAGAGCCACCTCTGTTTCTGAAGACAAGGTTGTCTCCTTGCCTGAGGATTTTTCAGTGGTTGATATAACATCTTTATCCAGTGCCACTTCTATTTCTGAGAGTGATAACACACCCATGGCTGGGACCATCTCTTTATCTGTGGGTGGTATCATGCCCTCAGCTGGGGTCAAATCCATTTGCATAGGTGGTATCCTCTCTGTTTCTTTGACTAGTATTACATCCTTGGCTGGTGCTACCTCTATTTCTGTGGGCAGTCCCATGCCCTTGGCTGATGACACATCTTTTTCTGTAGGCAATATGACATCCTGAACAGCAGTCTTCTCTGGTTCTATGGGTAGGCCCATGTCCTTGACTAGAGTTATGTTTGAGTCAATGGATGATTCCATGTCCTTGGCTAGTGCCACATCTGATTTGGTAAGTGGTTCCATGTCTTTAGCCACTGTCACCTCTGTTTCTGTGGATGGTGCCACGTCTTTGGCTGGTACAATCAATGTTTCACCAGAGGGTGTCATATCAACAGCCTTCAGTCCCATTGTTTCCAATGCTTTTGTTGGTGTCCTCTCTTCTGGTGATGCCATTTCTACCTCCTCAACTGGCACTAGGGGATATAAATTTAAAAATTTAGGACCCATCATTGTATGTTCATAGTTTTGCACTCAAAATTTACTTTCTTAGAGCCTAGGAGTATCTGATTTTTGCAACCTTAACTGAAAAGCTGTCAAATTAATGTACCTTATGTTTTTAATGCTTAGAACAACTGATTTTGGACAAACAAACAGTAGAGGAAAAGGGACAAAGGAGAGAGGGAAAAAAGGTTTAAAAAAATTACAGGTACACAATTTTAGAAAGGAAATCTGTGGGACATCAAAAAAAAAAAAAAAAAAACCCACAGAATTCTACATCTGCACTAAAGTAAAAAGGAATTTTCTTTGCCCACCAACTACAAATGGTGTAGTTCAACTATAACTTAATTCCTCCAGCTGTGAAATCAGTAATATAAGCTCATAAACATTTGTGATAGCTGTGAAATTTTTATCTATATGATGTTATATGCTATGAAAATATAAGTTTAATAATTTGTATTACTGATGTTGTGACCATTAACTGATAAAGAGAGCTTCCATATAATTTACCTGCTGTTGGTTGCAGAAGTTGGGTAGTAACCTCTGGGGAAGTGAAAGGTTCAGAATGTGGGGAGTTTGGGGTTTCCACAGACCACCCCTCAGGAGCAAAGGTGTCACATGGAAACAGACCTAATATGGGAACACAAACAAGTATGTTTTTGAAACTTGCTCAAATTGGAGGGGAAAAAAGGAATGACATTTAAAATCAGCTTTATATATTGTCATATGGGTATAGAGATAAATACCAATGAAAAACAAAGAAAGAAAGTTTTAAAAGAAAAGCTGTTGATATTCTACAGCTTTTGGATAATTGTTAATGGGCCTCAAAGTATGACTGTCTCCCTGCAGCACATGAGTCAACACTGATTACCTTCTATAGTGTATTACAAGGACTAAAAATACTAAAGATTGAGCAGTAGCTCCAAGATCATAATTGATATAAGATAATGTATAGTAAGAAATTGTGAACCTTAATTAATCTCCTCATTTGTAAAACCTCCTTTTTCAATATAGAAGATAATTTAGTGAAAATGCTTTATAAATTATTAAGAACTAGACAAATGTAAAAGACACAATAGGAGATTTACTATCACATGGTCTTTGCCAGTAAGATCATCACAATTCACCTAGAGAAGCAAAACAGACATATATTAAATATGTAGGGGCCTCCCTGGTGGTGCAAGGGATAAAGACAGCACTATCAAGCTGTCGCCAGCCACTGCAGCACTAGTTCATCCCTGACTAGCCAGGGAGCAACCCACATGGCACAGCAGTCCTCTCCTATCTCACCTGCTGCTCCCCTCAGCATTACATTTCAGTGGATCTGCCTGTTCTGCTCCCACTCTCTCTGGTTAATCCTCTTCTCCCCGCCCCCGCACCTCTGGCTTACACCCCAGTTCTTGTATGCATAAATAATCTTTTTAAAAAAATGTAAACTATATAGTATGAGCTGTTTTAAGAGTTTAAAAGCAAGTATGAGGACCAGAATAGTTACAGACGGTTTCAGAGAGAAGAAAGAGCAGGAATAGAGGAGAGAATAGTCAATTTCAAGAATAGAGAATAATGAGCATAGGAAAAAGTATGACGATATTAACAGGATAAGAGTATTTCTGGGACAAGATTAGTCTGATTCAAATAGATCTTGTCTACCAGAGAGGGAAAAATAGGATTAGCGCAGATAATAAAAGTATCAGAGAAATTTAGACATGAAGAGAAAAAGAAACAAGTTGTCTTTAAGATCTTAATCATGACACCAATATATTGAATTTAAAACAGGAACTCCAGGTGATCATTTAGCAGATATACGTAGAATGAACTTTAAAAGGGATTAGAGATCTGTTAGGAAACTACTATGGTGGTGTAGGTGATGGGCTTATGTTGCATAGAAGTAGAGAGAGCATAAAAGAAAAGAAAGATGCTGTAGAGAAAGAAATGAATGCAACTACATGACTCACTAGCTAGTGAGTGCAAAGAACAAGAAGGAGACAAAGTCAAAATCAACATCAGAAAACTAGGTGAATAGCATCAGTCAATTCATTTAATAACCTTCTCTCAGGAGACCTTCAGTTAAAAAAAAAAAAAAAAAAAAAAAGCATAGGTCCTTCCCTGGTGGCACAGTGGTTGAGCACTGGGCTGCGAAACTGCCTGCAGCCTCTACAGCGCCGGTTCAATCCCCGGCCACCGGCAAGGGTCCCACATGGCGCAACAGACCTCTCCTGCCGGGCCCGCTGCTCCCCTCAGCAGTGCATTTCTTCGTCAGTCTGCCTGTTCTGCTCTGCGCTCTGGCTCTGGTGAATTCTCTCACCCTCCCGAGCTTCTGACTGTACCCAGTGCGTGTATAAATAAATAAATAAATCTTTTAAAAAAAAAAAAAAAAAAGCAGCAAAAAGGCCTCCCTGGTGGCGCAAGGGGTTAAGCACCACACTATGAAGCAATCTGCAGCTGCCCAGGGAGAAATCCACATAGCGAGGCAGACCTCTCCTGTCTCGCCCGCTGTTCCCCTCAGCAGTGTATTTCAGTCAGTCTGCCTGTTCTGTTCCCCACTCTGTCTCTGGTGAATCCTCTCACACCTCTGCATCTCTGGCCTGCACCCCAGCTCTTGTATGCATAAATAAATCTGGGGGGGGAAAAAAAAAAAAAAAAGCAGCAAACCCAGAAAATCCTCCCCATTTTCTGTCCAAAGGATATAAATTCTTTTTCCTGGATATAGATTCTTATCAGTCCACAGAGGGTACCAAAGAAATCTGCAAACATACCCAACTCCAGTAGTTTCTCCCTAGTTATTTCCCTACAATATATCATTTTTGGAAGCCTAAAATTGCTTTCGTTTGTCCACTCTACAAATGTATTGTTCATTGTGGAAGATGTTAAATAAGCTGAAATTCTTTGCTACCACTTTCACTACTTTTCTCCCATGTGATGTATACTACATGCATCAATACTTTTTTTTTATTATTTTATTATTTTATTATTAATATGACTTCTTGTTAACAAGCCCAGCTGAGAACCTAAAATGGCTAGAAATTAAGTTTTGCCTCCCCTGGCCACATTCACATTAAATGTTTTATAAAACCAGGAATGAGGATACCACTTATTGATAACTAAGATCTGTTTAAAATGTTTACTATCTATCAGAGATTATGCTTTTACATAATTTTTTTTAAACACCACTGTGATAGATCCATTTTATAGATAAACAAGGTTTAAGGAGGATATAACTTGCCCATGGCATTTGCTAGTAAAATGTAGAGACAGAATCTGGTCCTAAGACATAAGATTCAAAATCCGAAGAGTCCCTGAGCAGCCCAAATTGTGAATTCTCTCCCTCTGATTAATCTTGACAGGGCCCTGTCACAGCCAAAGCCCCCAAACATGGCTTTATCTGGTGGCTAACTTCAGTGGTGATGGATGAAAGGCCCCATTAATTGTTTGGAGTTAAAGACTAAATCCAGATGGAGAAGTCATACCATAAGTGTTTTTCAGGGAATCATTTTGTTCTGAAAATGTTGAAGCATTAGTTGTTCCACCTGGGAGGAAGAGGAACTCTGACAGGCCATCATCATGGTGCATCTTAAAAGGATCTGGAAAAAGAAGGAATCCAAAACTCATTTCCAGTACTAGAAAGATTAACATTCCTTATTACCCTATAATAAATATTGATTAGTAACATGAGATAATATGTAACTATACATGGCAGAGAATCCATAAATTCACTAATTCATTTCTGTAAGTTAAAATTCTAAGCTACCACTTTGAATTACTTATGAGTTAATAATATGTAATCTTATGGTCTCCAAGATTTGATTATTTAAATCAGAAAGCCAACAAATGTATAAAACTAGGGCCTCCCTGGTAGCTCAAGGGGTTAAGTAAGCACCACACTGTGAAGCAGTCCAAAGCCTCTGCAGCACGAGTTCAATCCCCACTTGGCCAGGGAGCAAGCCACATGGCACAGCAGACCTCTCCTGTCTCGCCCACTGCTTCCCTCAGCAGTGTATTTCAGTCAGTCTGCCTGTTCTGTTCCCCATTCTGGCTCTGGTGAGTCCTCTCACCCCCCACATCTCTGGCCTGTACCCCAGCTCTTGTATGCATAAATAAATAAATCTCTAATATATATATATATATATTTTATAAACTGAAAGAACTAATGCTCAACTCTAAAATATACTAAGAGGTAAAAAATACAGAAGTAATTTAACTTTCAGAGTATATTTACATGGCAGATATTCATTTTAGGTTAATTTTAAAAGACAGAACAAGTGAAATAAAGATTCTTTCACCTATTGTGCACATCATGAAGAAAACTGCACTTCAAAAGCTGTCTGTTTGTGACAAGGTGAACAATCTTGAGAAGTAAAATAAACTCTAGACTCATGAGTTGGCATGAATAAAGAGACTGAAAATATCAGGTAAGCTCTTTCCCTTCTCACAAAAAAAAAAAAAAGAGCAAAGCAAGTAAGTCTAATGATAATTCTGCTAAGGAAGGCTCCTCAAAATTTAGCATACATTTGAATTATACTGAAGGCTTGTTAAAACAGAGATTTCTGGGCTCCCTGAAGGCTCCCGTAGCACCCTGTATTTCTAACTAGCTCCTTGATGGTGCTATGACTAATTCACTAAAGCACTTTGAATGTCAGAAGCAGATATATAAAAGCCCAGTCCTTTAGAGAATGTTTATTCTGTGGCTCTGATGCAACTGCATCAACTCCTTCTAGTAAGAGATTTCAGAACTAAGGGAGACAATGGCACTAGGGTATGTGAACAAGCAAAAGACAAAATAAGAAACTGTTGGGGGATGGAAGTGGCCTTATGCTGCATCTTCAGAACAGCAAGAGATCTGGAATATAAGGGATATGATAAACATTCATTCTCCCAAGTTTAAACTTGGTTTGGGGTAACTATTGCTTGCTTTGCCTCTTATACTTCCACTGAAGGAAAATTGGATGCTTAAAACATCAATAAGATTAATGGCTGTAATATTTACACATAGAATAGGAGATTGCTAAACCACTTGTAAAAATGGATGGTTTCTACAAAGTTCATTGCTTTTTCACTGGGTGTCTATGACATGGCAACCCTGTGTACTCTAAAAAATCCAAAGATATACAAGGTTAGAGTTGAGATATTTACTAGAGCTCTGGGTATATTTTAGTTCAAGTCAAGGAAGGTCTTCAACTGATAAATATTTAAAAGTAGAAATAAGAACTGAGTGATTAGGGGACAGAGGAAAGATTTTTTCTCTATTTATATGCTCTCCTTTAGTGATCTCATCTAATCTTATACTTTAAAATTCAACTGATATAATTATTAAATTATTATTTATCTTTTAAAAAAAGATTTATTTTTATTTATGCATACAAGAATTGGGGTGTATGCCAGAGGTGTGGGGGGTGGGGAATTAAGGATTCACCAGAGACAAAGTAGGGAGCAAAACAGGTGGATCTACTGAAATAGACTGCTGAGCAGCAGGCCAGACAGGAGAGATCTGCTGTGCATGTGGGTTAGCTCTCCGGCTGGGGATAAACTCATGTCACAGTGGCTGGAAATAAGATTTTAACCCCTGTGCCACCAGGGAGGCTCTAAATTACTATTTATTTAACTAATAATAATAACTCCTTTTTGAAGAATTAAGATTAAGGTGCTACTGATCATTTAGTCTCTAATGTACATGAGTTTCAGTTAATATACTCAAAACCGGTATGAAGGGAAAGAACTAGAGGGTCAAGTTCATCAAAAAAGGGTGAACAGAGAGGAAAAGGGCCAAATAAATGTTCATGATGTAATTATACCTTGGTTTTAAGTCACAGGCTATATTTAGGCTAAAATGCTTTATCTGAGGGGTAGTTGTGGCTTTCTCATGTTTATGTCATAGTTCACATAATAGCAGTCACAGGCAAGTCTGCACTTACCAGTCTGGATAGGATTTACCACTTGCTCAGGTTCAAAGCAAAAGTTTGTATTTTCTGGCCAGCCCTGGTTGTTCTGATATCCTTGGTAGGCCATTTTCTCTTCAAGGAATGCAGTTGGAGACCCTTAAAATAGAAACATGAAACAAAAGTTAAAAAGGTATGCAGTTTTCCCCTTTACTAGAGTTGAGTACAAAGTACTGAAGCTAGTAGAACTCAATCGTACCTAGCTAGTGCCTTTGAAGAAATTTTCTCTCAAAAAATATTTAAGAAAGAAGAAAATAAAGTACAGAAATGCCAGGCTGTAATCAGGATAAAAATACTTAAGGAGGCATTCTGGTTATGGATGCATGGAAAGATCAGTGGTATTAATTCACAAAAAATGTAAAATTGGGCAAAACTGTCAAAAGCAATCATTCCAAGGCATTAGAATTTCAAAAAAGCCAAATCTAAGTAAATGGAGAAATATAACATGTTCACAAATTGGAGAGTCAGTATTGTTATTGACTCCGGAGAGATGTTAGAATAGGTCTGAGGCTATTTTACAATCACAGTAATAAAACGTTTTCACGTAAGCATAATAAATCTGGGGACTTATTTTCCATTCCTGCAAGAATGGAACAGGTTAATATCTGTATCTCTAATTAAGATAATAATTTTTTAAAGATTTATTTTTATTTGTTTATTTTATTCATTTATACAAGCACTGGGTACAGTCAGAAGCACGGGAGGGTGAGAGAATTCACCAGAGCCAGAGCGGGGAGCAGAGCAGGCAGAAGGACTGAAGCACACTGCTGAGGGGAGCAGTGGGCGGCAGGAGAGGTCTGCGCGCCATGTGGGACCCTCCTCTGGTGGCCGGGGAGCAGCCGGGGATCGAACCGGAGCTGCAGAGGCTGCGGGCAGCTTCGCAACCCAGCGCTCTACCGCTGTGCCACCGGGGAAGCCCGATAATTTTTTTAATAATTAAAACATAGGCAAAATACCCAGTCCCTAAGAAACTTATGAAGGAGTTCACTGAAGGGTGAGTTAACATTGTAAATGTGAAAGCCTCCTGATCCTATGTGTCAAACAGAGCCTGTGGCACTGCCCTGTACACAATAAAAAAACTTCCTCAGCTTTAAGTTGTAAGAGAGGGACGATACCAATTCTTCCAGAGAGAGAGGAGAGTTTTTCCAAATTTTGGCAGTATTTATCAAAAGTGCCTTTAATAGAGATGTTCCACATATAGCCACACCCTATGTCAATTTTATTTATCTTTTTTTTTTTTTTTTTGAGAACATAACAGGCAGATTTATTGAAACACACTGCTAAGAGAAGCAGTGGGCGAGGGCGAGACAGGAGAGGTCTGCTGCCCTTATGTCAACTTTACATAAATGACCACAGTACAGAAGGTACTTATACTACTACAGAGGGTAAGTATACCTCCTGTTACAGTATAACTTGGGGCCAAGGAGAAGAGAAAAGCTTAGCAATACAGTTCAGATTTGGAGTATACTACCAGAGAGAATGAAACGTCCTGTAACGTGGTCTTATATATTCATCTCTAAGCTCCTCCAGAGGTTTAATACATTATCTCTAGCTCCTCAAAGCAATCCTCCTTTGGATCTCTCCCAATATCCTTTTCCAGTCCTTCAATTTTAAGAGAACCAACTATAAATGAAACAAGGAAGTCATCCAAAATGGACTGGGGTCAACTGGTTTAAATGTGTGGTTTGCTTTTCCATGGTATCTTGTGTACTCAACACTCTTTCAGCAGACACAGAGGGCCAATTTTTTGTGGACCACTTAGTTGTTTTTAAGACAATGCTGGATAACAAGTCTCAAGCAACAACAGAGTGAGGTATTTAGTAAAGTTCTCAGGAAAAAGACATGGTAGCCAGAGCTAATTACTGGTGATGGGCAACTCTGATTTAATAGAAGTATGATATATGAAATAATAAAAAAAAGAGAGAGAGTGAGGCTCTTCATTTCATTTTTCCCCAGCCAAACATTCACTCTTTCAATATATTTTAGCCTCTTTTCCTAACTGCTGTTTATTGCTGGTATATATGACTTGGGTTATTCACATGGAACTCAAGAAAGGAAAAACAAGAAGCACCAGTAAGAGCTAGTTACCTTATTTTATTCTAAATTATTATTTTCTTACAAGCAATACTAGTACAGTTCATAATTTGCATATTACTAAAAACAACCCCCCCAAAACACTGAATGTGTGAGCCCTTCTATTTCATCTTTGGCTCTTATGTTTTCCCCCCTAGTGGCAACCTTAGAACTTTAGAATTAAAGATACCTATACAGGATCATCCAGTTCAAAGCCCTGAAGTTTGTCCAGATCATCACTTATGTATATAAGAAGCTTACTATGCACCAGGCAATGTTCCAGGAATCAGAAATCCAACAGCAAACCAAGTGATGAAAGTCTTGCTCTCCTGGAGCTTTGATACTAATTACTTACACACTTGTGCTTGGTCACTATGAAAACAGACAAGTAAGTACTATTTTAATTGAGGGTTTAAAATATGCCCAACAATGCAAATCTTGGCAAGCCTGAGTTTTCACACCTAATACCTGCATTACCTACTTCATAAGGTTGAAGGAAGATAAATGAAAGTGTTTAAAATAGCATAAGAAACACTAATAGTCCTACAATAACTACTATGGATTAGGCAGAAAAAAGTTTATTTTTTAACAGCATTTTTCAGTGTTGCTACAGGAGTTTTCCAAAAGGCCCTTTAGGATATTAATCCATAATCACATATTTTCTTGTAATATTTTTTCTTTTAATTATTTATGCATACAAGAACTGGGATGTAGGCCAGTGGTACGGGGGATGAGAGGATTCACCAGAGAGAGTGGGGAGCAGAACAGGCAGATCTACTGAAATACAATGCTGAGGGGAGCAGCGGGTGAGACAGAAGAGATTGACTGCACCATGTAGGTTAGCTCCCTGGCCAGGGATTGAACTTATGCTGCAGTGGCTGTTGACAGTTTGGTATTGCTGAGATTTCACCCCTTACACCACCAGGGAGGCCCTAGTAATCACATATTTTCTTGTAAGTCTTTTTAAGAAGTTTAAAAATTTTTAGAACTTTTAAATATTCTATGTTTATCATTGAAAAATTCATTATTGGGCCTATAGGCAAAACACTACATGATATGCACATCAAAGACATATTTACAGACACATCACCCAAAGCAGTGATAGAGAAAGCAAAGATAAACAGCTGGGACTACATCAAATTAAAGAGCTTCTGCACAGCAAAAGAGACAATAACAAAAACAAAGAGAAACCCCACCGACTGGGAGAATATTTTGGCACACAACACTAATGATAAAGGACTGATCACAAAAATCTACAAAGAGCTGATGAGACTCCACAAAAACAAAGAAAATAATCCAGTCAAAAAATGGGCAGAAGAGCTAAAAAGAAACTTCTCTGAAGAGGAAATGCAGATGGCCAACAGGCATATGAAAAAATGTTCAACATCCCTTGTAATCAGGGAAATGCAAATCAAAACTACCATGAGATACCATCTTACACCAGTGAGAATGGCACATATTAAAAAAACTAGCAACAACAAATGTTGGCAAGGTTGTAGAGAAAAAGGAACTCTCCTGCACTGTTGGTGGGAGTGCAAACTGGTCCAACCACTATGGAGAGCTGTGTGGAGATTTCTGGACCTACTAAACATAGAGCTTCCATATGATCCAGCAATTCCACTCCTAGGTATTTACCCAAAGGACACAGAAACATCAATTCCAAAGAGCACCTGCACCCCTATGTTTATAGCAGCACTCTTTACAATAGCTAAGCTTTGGAAACAACCCAAATGCCCAAAAATAGATGACTGGATCAAGATGTGCTACATATACACTATGGAATATTACGCAGCATTCCAAAAAGATGAACACATGCAATTTGCAGCAACATGGATGGCGCTGGAAGGGATCATGCTCAGCGAAATAAGCCAGAAAGAAAAAGAAAAATACCGGATAGTCTCACTCATAGCAGGAATCTAGAAAATTTAAGTAAGGGACCAGGAAAAAGAATAACTATAAGAAAGTAAAAATAAAAATCAACAAACAACTATGAACCAGAGACACTCTATGGGGGGTGGAGGACAGGAGGGGAGGGATTGGGGTCAAAATAAGGGGTCGCAATTGTATGGGGAATATAAAAATAAAATTTATAATAAAAAAAGGAAAGAAAAATTCATTATTTTACATGCATTAATCCTGTTTCTCCAATTCACTAATATGTTTCTTTAGAAAATAAAGACTGTGCTTTTACTTTGCCTCTTCATAATGCCTAACTCACTGCATGGCACAGAATAGCATTTAATAAATAAATTGCTATCAAAATTACCGCAAGGTTATTATTTTGGACTGGATGATTCACACTGTATGCTGAGTTTTATGGAACGTCATTTACATTTAGTATAAAAAGCAGGGCCTTCCTGGTGACGCGGGGGGTTAGGACTCAATCTATGAAGCTATCACCAGCTGCTGCAGCATGAGTTCGATCCCCGACTGGGGGGCGGCCCATGTGGCGCAGCAGACCTCTCCTGACTTGCCTGCTGCTCCCCTCAGCAGTGTGTTTCAGTCATTCTGCCTGTTCTGTTCCCCACTCCGTCTCTGGTGAGTTCTCTCACTCCCACATTTCTGGCCTGCACCCCAGTTCTTCTACACAGAAACAAATAAATCTTAAAAAAAAAAAAAGGCATCAGGAATCTTAGAGTAATTTAAACAAAAGCTTATCTTTTCTAAAATAAATTTTAAAGACAGTCATTTTGTTTGCATTTTTCACCCTTTCGTTAAAAAGAAAAAAAAAAAAACATTGTTAGACATGTGAGTACATTTCTTCACACATTCTGGAGAAAGAACACAATCTCTGATTTTAAGATGCAAAAAGGCCTCGGTTATCCTCCCTCCACAGTGGTGCTACATACAGCACAGCCTAGAGCAACTCTCAGGAGCAATGGTCAAAACGGTCAGCCTCTGGTCAACTGTATTATTAATGAGCATGTTTGATAGAAGCTCCCCAAATCCCCATTAAATGCTATGACCTAGATTTCCTTCTTAAAACTACACAATGGAAGTAAACAAACCCCCTTGCAGGAACAGGC